TACATAAACTTAATTAAACATAAGAACAGATAAGACGTTTAGAGCCTTGTCGGTGACATGGACACCGCTGTTGGCTTGGAACAGCTATTTGCTGTGCATAGGGACGTGCCCGCGTTAGCCGTGTTGCAACAGCTCAGGATGGATTTCAGCCAGCAACAGCCTCAAGAGCTGCTGCACAACCACCGGGAATGTCTTCAGTTGGGCACGTGTAGTTTTGGTCGGCGGGGTCGAGCAGCGTACGCATTGCGCACAGAAACCAAGGTGCAGCGTCTCTGTAACATCGCTAACATATCCGGTACGCGGTGGCAGGCTTGCCGAGCACGAAATGAAGGGGGGGTCGCATCTCACCATTCAACTAAGCATGCATGTGCTCGGTTGAATGCTCGGTAGCGTGCGAGTTTACCCCTATCAGGATGTTTGTTTGCATATCCCTCCAAGCGAGAGGGCTTGGACCTATGCTGATGTTCGTTCCAAAAAGTGAACTGAGGACTGATGCTACGGTGAAAGGTATGCACGTAAATTCGCCCGTGCGCCAATCTCACATTCCAATATGCCACTGCACTTTCCTCTCCAGCCTGGCCACATTCTCTTCCTCGCAAACGTACTTGGGCACCTTACAATCCAACACCATACGTGCTTTGGAAACGTGGGCAGCTGCTTCACAAGGACCCCCCTATTTGCCTGTATGGTGCGCTCTCCCTGCAGGTATGCCCAGTACCACCTGTACGACAGCGAGCGCTGCCACGCGCTGCTGGTGATGCTGCTGCTAAGTACAGCCCCGATGCGGGTGTAGACCTCCTGGGTGATGAACTGCTGGACCTGCTGGCGGGAAACCCGCTGCCCACACTGGGCCCCCATGCACCCGGCACCACCGCCTCGGATGCCGATTGGCAGGAGGCAGGAGCGGACTGCGGAGGTGCGGGCCGCCACCGGGGATGCCAAGTTTGCGGCCACGATGACAAGCTTTTCACATCGCACACACCACAGCTGTGCTCCGACACCTCAATCCAAGTTAAACTACTTTGGCATGAATGCGGACCAGGTGCTAGAATCCAGCCAGGATTTTGCACTGGCCGGCCTGGGGAAAGCCACCAAGGCCCGTCCATGGGGCGCACTCGACCCCGCCCAAACGTGGCCTCTCCCCACCCACCAGCGCTGGCACCGATGATTGACCCCCCAATGACACCGGCCGCTCCACAGCGCCGTGCATCTGACTATACATCGTGACATGCAATGCCAACGTGCACGTGTATGTAGGGCAGTCTGTCGATCCGCAAGCGTGATACCATGCCCATGTACGCTCCCATTTTCCTACCCTTTAGCAAACACTTTTCCCTGCGATTGCTCATGTCATGCCGGGATCCGCTGATTAAATGGAGGTCTTTTACATTACTACACTGCATGCATTGGGGCCGCAGGGCTACAACACCCCAAAGGCCGCCCTCTGTGCAAGTGCCGCGTTGCATGCATACCACACCACCACCGTGGCGCCTGTCGCCACCCACCCAAGCGTCGCGCATAGAGCACAGGACCTCTGCTTCGTACTGCATCTTGTTCTGGCAACCGATCATGTGCGAGACCGCATGCATAGTGTCGAGCATTTCTCGTGCTTGTTGCTTTGTTCCTACTGCTATACTCCTTGGTTTTGCGATATTTTAGTCAAGAAGGCACTTTGATGTTCTGCAAGGGTGGCTTAGCCGCCCTGTTTTGCTGCGTGCGGTACGGCATGCTTGCCCTCAACGCGGATGACCGCCGTTGGACTCGAGGTGCTTCCTTGGCCGCTGCTCATGACGTGCGACTCATATTTTGACACGCTGCTTATGTCGCCTTCATTCTTCTACTAGTTATCTACGTCGCCAATTCATGCACCATGGACATAGCTTCTACATCGTGACTAGCTTGTGTACACTCCTTAACAAAACGGCGTGTGATACATGCTGTGCAGCGCCTGACCCGTACATGGCAATACAATACAATACATGACACACAAATGTCACTTTGCCATCATAACGAGATCCCACACATACTTTGTCGCCGGCTCGTTCAGCCACATGCTTACAGAGCCCGCGGTTAGCTGCTTCATGGGATACCCCAAAATCTTTACTTGGGCGTGTGCAGCGAGGCCGGCAAACAGGAACATGCTCCAGGCGCTGGCTCCTTTGCGCCATCATAACAAGCCATTTCCATGGCTTCCAACCGCATGAACAGCACGCTGTCGCCGTACTGCCGCAACAAATATGCCTTGCAGGCCCCAACAATGTACTAGTATCTACAGCACAAGCGCCACACCGATTTCAGTGCGTCACACCAATAACCCCAAAGCAGCAGGCCAAGCCTGAACTCGCCACAGGATTGGGAGATCGAGCGTGCCTTCGTCCGACAACTTGCGCCATTGCCCTTTTTAAGGCTTCAGCACAATCATATACGTAATCAAATGCGACGCGTCGACGACCCGTATTGAATGCTACGGAACGTCCAGCGTTGTGCAGCGCCAAAAGCCACTGAGTCCTTCAGTGGCCTGACCTGCCGACAAGATAAATATAAAACCAGCGGCGCACTTCATACATCCATCGACGTGATTGAATCGTCGGTCTTAGCAGAACTGATTTACGTTCAACTGCCGTCCATAAGCGCCTTCGTATTTCATCCTTTGATTCGGCCCCACACAAATTCTCAGCGAGAGCCACATTACCAGTGCCAGGCTGACAGAAATCACCCCGAGAGCAACAACCAGGAAGATAACTTCCAAGCAGCACTGCCTCGTATAGCGTCCTTGCTTTTTACCCCTTCGGCAGCACTGCCTCTCAGTTTTTTGCGTACAGTACAAGGAGTAATATGCCTTTTAACAGACACAAAAACACAAAATCAATGTGGATGATATTTACTAAACAGCTTACCATCCCATTCTTTCTCTTCTCTCACACAAACACAACGCTTTCTTTACATGTACAAATACGCACGACAATCCGGCTGCCGACATCTTGGGATGACACAGGCAGTAGGGGACCTTCAGAACCCGGGGAGCAGGCCCCGCAGGCCACCGAACAGTCCCTTTCGGCCCGGCTTCCTGCCTGGGCTGACGTCGCTGCCGCCGTTCCGCGCGTTGCCATCCAGACCCCCGCCGCTGATGCCGCTGCCGCCGTTCGACCCTGGACCGCCATTGTCCACACCGGAAACGGCGCCGCCCATGCCATCGTCCATATCCAGACGAGCCTGATGACGGAAAAACAATTTCGTCAAGTAAATGCAAAAAGCACACAAGACTCACATAGCCTGGACAAATCCTAAGCTACTAATGTCACCATGGTACGGCAGTACAGTATCAGCATGCGGCTCACCCGTCCCTAAGGAAGAAACAGCAGCAGTCGTCCGTCCAGCCTCCAGCCACTTGCATATCGCAGCGGTAAACCATTTGCATTTGCAGCTAATTATCTGCATCTGCCGCTGGTGTGGCCCAATCGATAGGAGCCAGCCAAGTCTTCATTGAGCCGCAGCCCGGCCCATCCCCATTCCAGACAAGTATGCTAGACACGAATACATCCGCAGCCCCAAACCTACCTCAATGCTCTTGAGCGTATACCCGACCGCCATGAGCCAGAAGAGGACCTTGCTGAGCTCCACGGAGCTGAACTCGGCCGCCTCCTTCGTCAGCGCCTGCTCCGAGCCACCATACAGGTCAACATAACAGCCGATTCGCACATGTCAAAAGGAAGCTACCGGGCATGGTGAAGCCTTAGGACTGATGACCGTTATCATGACAAGCCTTGATGCCGCATGCATGTTATGGACGAAATCCGTAGGTATGCGGTAGGGGCCGACAGGATAGGGAGCCATTGAGTGTGCTATCGCTGGCACCCCACGTCCTGCGTCACGGTGTTGTCACCCTCACCCCGCCTGCTAACCACGTGACACCCTTAACCGTATGAGTGGCTGGGGTAGCAGCGGCTCCTGCGCCGACCGCCAACTTTAAAAGGTGCTGTCGCCGCACCCGGCCCGGGCCTGCCTGGCCACATTCGCATTCCCCTGACCTATTTCACTTGTCACAGCTGCTTACCGCCGGGTCCAAGGTCCCCATAAGCCGCGCCACGAACAACTCCATGGCCTCCTTCACAGCCTGGCCGCTGGCCGTGCTAGGGGAACAGGCCAGCTCCTTAAACCCGCCCGAGCCGCTGGCCTGAGGTCCGCCATAAAACCAGGGGACGACACGACACGCGCCATCAGGGGCAAGCGAGTAATCGGTATTCACTGCAACAATCAGTCAGTTTTTGCGCTGACGGAGACATGCGGCCGTGTTGCCCCGGCTGGGTGTATTTGAAGATCCAGGCCACATGCAAGGCTCTCGCGGCATCCGACAGTAGACCGGGCAAAACGGCCGTCAGCAAGGCATGGAACTTCTCACCTGCAAGCCATGCAGATAGTCCAGCAACTCGTTACGGGGCAGCCCCAGCGGAGATCCCACTACCATCGGAATGCCGCCACAACCCATAGTCGCGGGGGCCGCAGCGCTGCCTGCACCCGACGCCGCCAGGCTGCCGCCTCCCCCGTATGGCAGGCCAGCGCCGGCGCGCTCCCCAAAGCCCGGTAGAGGGCTGACGCAAGCTAAGCTTTGACCGGGGTACAGCGCGCCCGGGGTGGCCAGCGGCGCAGTGTCTGTATCGGGGCCAAGGACCTCCACCGAGCCAGCGGTGGCGAGGGGGGTCGACGACGGGGACGGTGAAGGCCGCAGCTCCGTCACGGGGACTTGCACCACCTGTGCAACCTGGCATGGAGGTGGAACGCGCGACTTCTCAACGCCTAAGTCACATAAAGATCAACATTATTTCATAATACTTACCACGACCATCAGGCCAAACTACGATCCTCAAAACCAGGCTCAAATGCCAGTCCAACAGGCCTTGCTTCTTTAGTTGACAGTCCGCGTGCATCCCAGCATATCCCAAAGTTACCGGACTTAGGAGAGCCCCCAACCCGGCCCAACGCAGGTCCCCAACCTGCGCCCGCAGCGCCGCGACCTCCCGCTCCAGCAGCTCGATGTAGTCCGCTGCCGCCAGACGCTCCACCTCTCCCCGAGCCAGGTGCCACCGCAGGATCTCGCCCTGAGTTAGTACGGCGGCGGCAGCAGCAGCAGCGGAAGCGGCGGAGGTTACAGAGGAACAAATGCCATGGGGACGGAAGCCCTAAACGAGGGGCGCCAAGCTCCTCACGCCAGGCGGCATGCGCTCAACCACACACATAGCCTGATTCGCCAAGCACTCCACGCAAGCCATGCCATGCTTCGGTCAGGACGTTCCGGGTAGAGATCAACTCCCGTTCCGAGCCGCAGCGAGCCAAATTGCCGTACCTCCACGTTTTTCTTCTGTACACCAGGAGCGTACGGAGAGCTTTCACCATCGTACAGGAAGGTTGCACCTGGGCCGCCTGCTGCCTCTCCGCTGTCGCCGCTGGAAGCCGCTGGGACGGCTCCGTTACCACATCCCAACTCCGCGGGGGAGAAGGCCGCCACCGACGGCAGGGCCGCTGCCGCTGCGGCCGACGACATTGTCGTCGGAGCAGAAGCACCGACCGTATCGCTGGCGCTGCTTTGTGCCGGAAGCTGCTTTAGCGACCTCTGGAGCTCGTGCCGGAACTGTGCAGGTACAGCAACAGGAGGCAATAGGAACGCAGCGGAGCACATTACTCACATACATCATGTCGTTGACACAACTTATTGTACTGTGCCGGGACGACGTTGATGGAAAGCCGCTTGCCTGGCACCCGCACAGGTGGCATCAAGGAAACCCTGACTAATGTTCAGAAGTAACGGCCCCCTAGGGATGATAAGGGGAAGTGATACATGGTCATGTACCAAAGCTGGCTGCTCGACCTGATGTCCCAGATCGGGAATCAGAGACGAGTAACATGTGGCCAACGTTGAGCACCCTGGACAGAGTGGATAGACACAGATCCGCTGCTGGGACGGATAATGTACTGCCAAATGAGATGACGGACGGCGGCTACAGGGTTCGCATGCACTATCAGCGCCGGTGCAGGTGTTTGACGCCCCGCTGCTCCAAATCCTTAAGCTGGTACACCACTTCATTGGGGTATGTTTTAATTCCCAATGGCTGGCTGGCGGTCAATGGCTGGCAATTCTCCGCCAGTTGCCTGTGCCCAAACACCTAAAGGAAATGAATGATGTCGTTGCGAGGGCCAACCACACACCTGCGCTGACCGGAGCATGTAGCCCGTGGTCATGATGGACAGCATTAGCTGGGCAAGGCTCTCTGCCATAGTGGTGATGCGAACGTTAAAGTACTGTGGTGGCAGGCTGCCAACCACGTTTAGCACCGTCTGGCGCATCGCCTGGACCACCTGGTGTGAGGGGGGGGGGTTCAGGACGTTTCGCTGGAGAGATGAAACGGAAAGAGGAAGCGTTTGGTCGCCGTGACAGGCTGGATGGAAGGTTGACGCGGCGGGGTGCTGGCCAGACGTGTTTCTTGCTCGCCGTCGAGGTCAGGAATGTGAACTTACCACGGGGTGGGTCTGCTCAGCAAACTGTGTCACCGATTGCGGCTGGACTTCCTGGACATACTTGAGAAGCGCCTGGCGCCGTTCCTCCTCCTGTTTGTAACAAGCACATCCTTAGGTGCTTCCAATCAGCAAGGGCGCTGATACAATTTCAAATGCACATACATGGCGCGCTGTTCAAAAGAAGTCACAAAAAACAAATAAGGCCTGTAGAAAGCAGCATTACTACGCGCCAAACGTTCGCAAGACCTGCCCTGTGGGTGAAAATTAGCAAGGCAAAACACAGCTCCATAAAAACGTACCCGCCAAGGATCGTGAAGGTCTCCATATCCCCTTTTCGAAGACCTCGCTGACGCTTGAACTCGGCGATAGTCGCAGCTAAGAGGACGTCGATGGGCAGCGACCCACTCCCTTGTGGACGAAGCTGGCATGCCCCAGGTTCCCGTGCTAGTAATAAGCATTTTAACTTGTAACGGATCAAGAGGACCGCTGGCCTAAAGCCCCTGCCTAAGCAAGTAGGGCCTGTGAGGTCGAGGACCTCAGCCCCGCCCGGCACTACGGACCCTAAGTCCAACTGAAGGGCATCAATATTGCACAAGTGGAACAAACATAATGTATGTGTGTGGATGCCGCAGCAGCCCCGTCGAGAACCTTAGATCCAGAACTCGCTCCACGAACACGCTGACGCAGCGCATCGCGAGCGCAAGTGACAGCCCTAAAAGCTACTGTACGCTTTTCCGCCAACACAGATAGTCTCATAACATCATATATATAAACTGAATCAAAAATCTCTACCAAGGGTCTGATTTACAATGGGCGCAGCGTTGTAGCCTGTGCCGTCCTGGGCTCGCGCATGTCGTTGCATGGGCGCGCATGGGCGTTGCGGATAAGGACAGCCGTTCTACCGCTCCCACCAATGTCATGTGCAAAGTGAGGCAAAGTCGTCAGGCCCTCAGACGATGATATGCGCACCACCTGTCTTTAGGCCCGCAGGACCTACCGGTGCTCGGAGTATGCACCTTGTATCCGCAGCCAAATCAGCCATACTAACCACACAAAACAGCAATAACAACTGACAATGACGTCTGGGCCCATAGCTACCCGATACATCTGGTAACTCTCCACACATCTATGGTGCCTGATGCTGCAATCCTGTGGGACGCTTCCACCCAGCAGCCCAATTGCGGCCCTACCCAATGGCTTGTAAGCAAACTGGCACGGCCATAAACTAAGATTTGCCAGGTTCACTTCATTTTGCAGCCTCAGGCGCATTAGGAGTATACAGGCGAAAAGTGACATGTTCCCTGGCTGCTGGTTTTAGTTCAGATTCCAGTCCATGACACTGGGGTCTGGCGGCTGAGAAAGCGGGCAGGAAGGAGGTGCTCCCGCATATACAACATTTATCCCCTGAATCAGCGATTGTAAGCTTATGCAGTTCAGGCTTTGCTGTTGGGAATTGGCGGCGAACAGAGCGCGCAAGGGACGGCGTTATGTACTTAGGGAGGAGCGGGTATGCCCCTGCTGTTGCACTGAGAGCCATATTGAAGATGAGAAGCACGTCTTGCTGGACTAATGTGGATTTCCCACGCTTTGAGCATATGAAGAGCAGATACGGGGTACGCAACCCCACGAACATGAACACTTTGGCTAGTGATTAGATGATGCCAATATCTCGCCACCAGGCGTGGAAACGTAGGAACTCGGATTGACCGCACAGCTTTAGCCTACCTCCCCACATGGCAGTCCCGCTGTCAGCCTGAAGGGGCGCTCTTGTCATATCGCAGTTCCGTTTGAAGAGCTCGCAATACCTAGTCCCGCAGTTCGCCCAACCACACTTCCAGCGGGATCAATCAATACCGTCATTGCCAGCCACCGCTGATATCGCCTTGAGCGCTGACAACACCAGCGCGTTGAAAATGTAAGGGACAAGCTGTGGCAATGGATAGCGGCGATTGTTGTGATGTTAATAGCCCAGGCATATGTTGCTGGAGCGCTCATGGTACTCAGAGAAGGGGAGGTAGATTTCAGCCAGTTCAGTACGCGAAACACAATGAGTTGGGACTCCACCTGTAATGATCAAGCCTATTTAAGAAGCATTCCACTTGTGTGGTGGGACCGAAAGACCCCGAGTGATGGGTGGTGAGCCGTCTTATCGACCGGCCACCGACGGAAGTACGGCAAAGCGAACCAGATTAGATGAAGGCCCTATGGCGAAGGCCAAACTTCACCGACGAACGATAACGAATAGGCGAATGAGAGTAATGTAACAGGTCCTGCTCGTTACATACTTCCAACGCAATGAACCGTGCCAAACGTCGTGCCCGAGCAGCATATGATGCAGAGAGAATGCGTGAGTTCGTGGTAAGGTGCAGGCACGATCAGCGCGCACTATGGCGGGCCTTGGGAGGGCAACTCAAGGAGCGTTGCGCGATTGATGACTTGCATGTATTTCGGGATCATTTTGCCACCTTGTTAAATGCAGGGGTTGGGGAGACGGGTGTTGAAGGTGCACATCGACTCCTTAACTATATCTCCTTTTTTGGGGCCCCTTTGGGAGAGGGTGCTTGGCAAGCTTGTCGGACTGTCATGGACAGGAGAGCACGGGCAGCTAGCATCCTGGACGAGCCTTTCACCTTGGAGGAGGTAGCACGTGCTGTCGGTAGGTTACCAAACGGAAAGGCTCACGGGCTTGAGGCCATACCATCGGAATGCTACCGTTATGCACGCCTCCCACGGGTGGATGAGCAGGGCAGGCAGGGAACGGAGGTGAACTGTATCGTCCCAGTGCTGCACGTTTTGTTAGAGCACATCAGGGCAACTGGTGATTTTCCACAGCAGTTTACCAAAACGGTGGTATCCCCTATTTTGAAGAAGGGTGACCCGTTGGTGGCAGGAAATTATCGGGGCATTGCAGTTGGAGGAGCACTTGCGAAATGCTATGCGTCAGTGATCCTTAACCGCCTGGTACGTGCTGGGGAAATACTGGACCTGCGGCACCCATGCCAAGCGGGTTTCAGGCGGGGTTTTGGCACTGCTCACCACCTCTTTGTCAAGCAACACCTG